AGGATGATCAGGGGTCTGGAACATCTGCCCTATGAGGAGAGGCTGAGGGAGCTGGGCCTGTTCAGCCTGGAGAAGAGAAGGCTGAGAGGGGATCTAATCAGTGTATATAAATACCTCAAGGGAGGGAGTGCAGAGGACGGTGCTGGTCTCTTTTCAGTGGTGGCCACTGATAGGACTAGAGGAAATGGCCGGAAACTGAAACATCAAAAATTGCATAGGAACTTAAGGAAAAATTTCTTAACAGTGAGGGTGACAGAGCACTGGAACAGGCTGCCCAGAGAGGTTGTAGAGTCTCCTTCTCTGGAGATCTTCAAAACCCGCTTGGATGCAGTCCTGTGCCACGTGCTCTAGGTGTCCCTGTGTGTGCAGGGGGGTTGGACTAGATGATCTCTAGAGGTCCCTTCCAACCCTAAGCATTCTATGATTCTATGATTCTAAGTAACCATTATAGCTGTAGTTATTAATGCTAAATCGTAATCACTAACATTATGATCATGTACATAATTTGAAGAATTATTTTACAGTGGATCCAGGCAGAGGCTCTTGAGAAACCTAAGTGGTTTGTAGTGTTAGGCCATAACTTGATCTTTAAGCATGAAAATTCAAGTTTTTCAAGACATTATCTTTTGTGCCTCCCACTGTCTTAGCTTGAGATATGCTAAAGATACCATATTTTTGAAAGGTAAATGATCTGCACCCCCTTTAAATAAGGGGTCTTTAATTTGCCTTGGTCAAAAATTAAGGCACTAAAATCAGTCATTCCTCTTGAAAGCTTAGGTACAATCTTTTAAAATGTTCAAACTACATTTTCAGCTTGTGTCACTTTAGTTTCCAGACAATTAATGGCAGTTGACTTGAATCAACTGGAATCTTTTACCCATTTATAGGAGCCATTCTGATGTACATAAATATAGCATAGAGACAATGCAGTGGTATCCTCATGACACTGGCATGTTTGCATCCAGCTCATTTGATAAAACATTGAAAATATGGGATACAAATACTTTACAGGTAAGTAAATAAAAGATTTTTATGACTTCTGGATATGACACTCTGCATCTGCAGTTCACTTGGAGCTCAATAGGAGCAAGTACGTGGAAGGGTGAGAAATAACTGGTTGTTAGAACTGCAGGCAGAGCAGCAAGGTGCTGTGGATCCAGCATTTTCACTCGAGCATGTTTGTCAGGTTCTTTAGACATGAGCACCTAAATGGTGAGAGACCTTGGAGCCCTCAGGGCTGTTCCCTCCTGCTTCAGCCACAAGCAGGAGTACATGCTGATAATTCTGTGGTACATCAGTTTTCCTAACTAGGACGAATCTGAAGCTGTAGTTCAGTTTCCAGGGTTGTTCAGTGCTTCACAGAAAATATTTACTATTTAGTTTATTTGTATAGCAATAGGAGTATACAACAATAAGAGTGTACAGCAGGACTATTTAGTAAGCAAGGCATAGATACTGCTTTGGAAAGGTTGGCCTTGGCATTTAGAAATAGAAAGGATGTAGAGAAAGGGAGTGTCATATATTTAACAGCAGTGATCATGTAGGTTTGGAAAAGACCTCCTGGGTCACTTAGGTGATGTGAAGCTATATTTATTGTCACTAAACATTAAGTGCACAGCTCTTTATTTTACAGGTGGCTCTACGAGCATGACTTAGACAAAACAGTGTTTATATGAAGGTTAGTAACTGACTTGCACTCTGCCACCAAACAGTGTATTTGAAAACATAGACAGCTTAGGTTTAAGTTATATTTCTATTCAATATTTTATAATGGGAGAACAAAAAGAAGTATACATGGAAGTCATTGTATTAGCTATCAAAGACAGTACTGTTTTGGATTTTTTTGTTTGTTCGTAACTTTTAACATTATCAAGGGAGTTAGTCATTGCATGTATTTTCATACCTTTTAATACTTTATTTCTTGGAGGAATGAAGGATAGTGTATGATGTTTGTGAACTGACAAGGGGCTCTTAAGTTTAGTCTAAGTTATTCTTTCCTAGTGACTTTTTTCTCCATATTGTTTGGAACCTTCCTGGCTTTTTTTTTTTTTTTTTCCTTCTCTCTCTTTGCTTCCATGTTTTTTAATTGTGATGAACTTTAAATGTCTTCCATTTATGCTTTTGATCAGCCAAGTGTCTTGAACTTCCTTCTGGGTCACCTTCCAGGTTTCACATAGTTGTCTAATGTTGCAACCATACTTACTTTGCAATATTTGCATGACTGGTTTACTAAGAAGGCACCTTATTATTAGTATGTCAACAGTAATATTTGTATTAATTTTATTTGCAGCTGTAATTTGGAAAATGCTTAATAAAAAGCATGTATATTCTTATATCATGTGTGTGCTCTGATCAAATAAATCTCTTTGAAACACATCTGCAGGGTGATAACATTTTGATGGAACTGTCTATAGTCATCATATGTCTCCAGTTGCTACCAAACATTGTTTAATAGCAGGTATGTATGTGTGTTTTAAGAAATTTTATGCCTATTTTGGGGCTGTCATAAAAAAAGTAAGTAATATTCAGAGATTCTTCCCTCTCCTGTCTTTTCATTTTACAGAGAGTGAAATTATGTAGGAATTAGCTCATTATTAAAGTAAAATATTTTCAGTGACTCATGATGTTTATAATGAGAATCTTACATTTGTTCTTCTGGAATAATGTGTTGTTCAATTCAGCCTCTAGGTTTTTAGGAAATTTCCTGCTTATTTTGGGGTTGTCATGAAAAAGCAAGAGATTCTTCCCTCTCCTGTCTTTCATTTTATAGAGAGTTAAATTATGTAAGAATTAGCTTATTGTTAAAATTAAATATTTTCAGTGACTCATGATGTTTATAATGAGAATCTTACATTTGTTCTTCTGGAATAATGTGTTGTTCAATTCAGCCTCTAGGTTAAAATTCGTACATATAACCAGTTTACCATCAGTTATATAAGGTAGCATTTGAAGGTTATTAGATTTGAGCATAATTATATATACATGGGTATGTATTTGTATTATGTATTACTTACTTGCAAGTATGTTATTTAACTATGAGAGAGAGAGAATTTTTAATTCTTAAGTGTCGTAGGTATGTTTTGTTTGCTCTCAATTTCATATATGTTTGTAATATATTAAATTTACCTACACTCAAAATGTAAATCTATTAATAAAATGTGTTGCAGCAACAGCCTATATAGTACTCTGACAAAATGAGCTGTTATTAGCTAACATTTCTTCTATTTCTTTGTCGTTGCTATAATCTTTTTGTTGTTCTTTCAACTACTGTGTTTGTTGTTGTTGTTTTGGTTTTCATCTGTCTTTGGTTTTTCTTGTTACAGTTGGTACCAAAAGCCCCAAAGTACAGCTCTGTGACTTGAAGTCTGGGTCCTGTTCTCACATTCTGCAGGGTACATTTTAGTCTGAAACATAAATGTTAAACAATAACTACTTTGAATAAACCAGGCCCTATAAAGAAACACCGTATACAATGTATTTGTAAGTAACCTGACTTTGTAAGCAACATTTTTGTACCAGTTGGGAAAGCTGCACAGTGAAAAAAGCTTCTCGTGGACATTGGTATAGTGGTAATGAACTAGAGAATACAAATACTAATTAATGAACAATTATGATAGAAGTTTGGGTGTTTTCATGATAAACCCTGATCAGATCAACAGTAGTTAATGCTTATTAAGTATCGGCAATGTTTTTCTGATCGTGCCCATTGAATATGGGTGCTGTTGTTAAAGATTTTTTTTTTTTAATACAAAATATCCTATAAAGATGCTTGAATGATTTTAAGAGGTTTCCGCATAAAGCGTAAGCTACTATTCACTGTGGAAGGGTGGTATCTCATGCTTTGCTTTTATCAAATTTGGGAAGCTGCAGGTTTTTATTGTTTTGCAATCATGAAATACTTAGTGTTGGCAGGGACCCAAGGTAGACCATTTGGTCCTGTCCTGTCCTGTTCCATTTCCCTCTTCCCCTCCAAGCAGGGCCAGCTATAGCAGGTTGCCCAGAATCATGTCCAGTTGGGTTTTGAAAATGTGTGAGGATGGATACCTCAACTTCTCCAGGCAAGCTGCTCCTGTGCTTGACCACTTTGCAGTAAATGAGCCTTTTCTTATGTCTAGGTGAAGTTTTCCATGTTTCAGTTGGTGCCTGTTGCCTCTTGTCCTGTTACTGGGCACCACTCAGAAGTGTCGTCATCTTCATATCCTCCCATGATATTTTATCTTTATGGATATTTATAAACATTGAAAAGATTTCCCCCTAAGCTTTCTCTTCTGCAGGCTGAAAACAACAACACTTTCAGCCTCCCTTCATGTAATAGATGCTCCTGCAGAAGATGTGGTCTTGCCAGGGCAGAGTAGAGCAGGAGGATCACCTGCATTGATGTGCTGGCACCACTCTCCGTAATGCAGCCCATGATGCTGTTGGCCCTTTTGCCCCAAGGGTACTGTACTTTGTGCCACTGACCACAACCCTCTGAAGCTTCAAGTTCAGAGTTTTCAGTCCTCACTGGCCACTCACCTAGCCTGTACTTTAGCAGTTACTAAGAATAGGAGAATAGGAAGGCCTTTGACACTGTCTCCCCATAAACAACTTTTGTGTGTGTGTTTAGTCCATCCCTTTTTGCATTTAGTGAGAATTTGACCTTAATGCCATTTTGCTAATGTTTAATAAGGTCTTTGGGTGGAGGTGAGTGATAGATTATATGATCAAGTGAGAGAGTGATCGGATAAATCTGCTCATATTTCAAATAAGCAGATGAGCCTAATCTAGAGAGAAGTGTTAGCTCAGACAAAGCAACTTGCAAACACATCTTTCTTCTGAGGTCAGCTTGTCCCAAAGCAGCCTAGGTGCATTTGTGTGATGCACAGCGTGAGCTGGTAAGTCCTGAAGTAAATCAGCACCATGCCAATAAAGATGGGCATCTCAAAGATCTCTTTCTAGAATTGAAAGTACCCAGGAGTGTAGACACCCACAGAAAGTTAGTTCTCCAGAGAATCAGTTTGGGTTCAGTAGGCTTTAAGATTTTGAGTCAGAGTTAGTGCTTTTCAGTCACAGGCTGATAGTGTCTTTATGCTCAGCATGGTGCAGTTGGATCAGGTGTAATATTGGGAACAGACGGAGGCAGCTCATGCCCTTCATTAAACATCATCTGAATCTTTATACAGAGCTTGAAATGCTCAAGAGTGCATTGCAAATAGGTGTGAATATTTTCACATGGCCTACCCTGAGAACTGAAATGGAGCTAAATTCATGCTGGACTGCAGTTTACTCAGTGGAGCCTGACAAATGTGCCTGCTCTGTACTTTTCAAGTGTATCCTGTGGTACCTGTATTATGGAGACTTTTCCATTTTCCTGAGCATCCCAGTCCTTTGGTTAACTCAGATAATGGAAAACTATCTGTTTTATAGAAGATGTACCAGAAGCAACATGGTTCTTGTAGCTCCAAACTGCATAGTAATAAAAGTTTTTGTATGTCTTTATTTTTCAGCAATGTGTTTTTATTATAACAATGTGTTTTTTATTAATATGTGAAGCATGGCTGTAATGCTTGTATTTAGGCAAGCTTATACTTCCTATTGTCTATATTTAACACTTTCTGAAATTTTTCCCCAATTTTTAAAATCTATTTATATTACTTCCCGCTAAGCAGCATTTGGGCTAATACTGCTAGGAAGTCAAAACCAACATTTAACTTAATGTGTTGGTATATGGGACATAATAAGGGGAAAAACAAATACTCAGAATTAAGGACAAGATATGAGCACAAGCTGAATAAGGTTTTTACTCCTAAGTCCATAAAGTAAATATATTTTTTGTTAAGCTTTATGAAATAATTTGTAGTAAAAAATATGCTAAGTTTCTTCTGCATATGACAGTAGTAGTGCTATTTCAGAATTTAATAACCGTGTTTACAGTAGTTGTGACGATGCTGTTCTGTGCTTTGCACAACTAAAACCAGTGTATGGTATTACTTCCCGCTCTCTGCAGTCCCACTCAAGCAATAAGAAGGAAGGAAAATAATCTCTAGTCCAAAATAAATTTATATTGCAATGTAGGCAATTCAGATTATTGTTTTGAATTGATGGTGGATATTATAGGTTTTTTATTGAATTTATTTGCATAAAGAAGTACATATACATATTTTCATAGAAAATAATGTAAGCTTTTTCATACCATTTTTAGGTCACAGGCAAGAAGTGCTGGTAGTGTCTTGGTCCTTGTGTCATGATTATATTTTGGCAGCAGGAAGGTAAATATATTTCTAAACTGTTATAAGCAATAATGTTCTTTAGGGAAATTTTAGATATTTTTAGTGATACAAGTATGGACTTGAATTGGCAGCACTGAGGTACTGACAAGGTAGTGAGGGAAAATTGGCTAGTACTGCTAAAAAGCATCTTCCAACTATTATTGCGCTAATCTAACTTAGAATACACAGGAAAAAAAGTATAGTTAGAAGACTGCTTATCTAAGCAGTTTGATAGGGTGTATGTTCCAGCTGTAGATCAAAGCAAGCAAGCATTGACTTAGTGTGCAGGCAGTGGTCTTTCAGTGTGAATTGACCAAGTTGGCTATTTTATTCTACTTAAGAACATGCACATTTGCAGATGAACCCAATTGAATCCCTCTATAGTATGTAATGAGCAATATGTGCCAAGTCAGCTGTATATACCAGCTATTTATGGCTATACATTTTTATATGAAGTGATCTATGGAGATTGTCATGCTTTTTGACACCAAAAGTTAAATTATTTAGTTATACCCTATATAAATGCATATACAGAATAGCAATTCCATAGATATCTGAAACACCTTCTTTTTCTTTATTTTCTGCCCACAATGGATGAGTGAATGGTTTGTGCTATACACATGATGGGCTTCATCTGTTGACTATTGGTACAGATGATCAGATGAGACTCTGGAACAGTTCCATTGGAGAGAATACATTAGTAAGTTTTCAGGTATCTTTGGTTATGTTTTTATTTGCATTTAATTTTCAATGATTGCCAATAGTTTGTGCAACCCTGGATATTCATTTATTGTCATTAGAATCATAGAATCGTTAAGGTTGGAAAGGACCTCTAGAGATCTAGTCCAACCCCCCTGCACACGCAGGGTCACCTAGAGCACGTGGCACAGGATTGCATCCAATATCATTAAGGATATTGCTGATTTATCTCAGTTCGTTAAGGATTTTTTAGGCATTTCTTTGTTCAGGATTTTTTTCCTTATTTTTTGCTTGTTCAAAAAGAATAGATCATGAAATGTTCTAAAAATAGAACATGGGGGCAGGATCTCTGTAGTGCTCTTTTATTTCCTGCTTGCTGGTTAGTTTCAGAACACATCAAAAAGTATCCCCTATAGACATTTAAATGAAGGGACTTTTCTATCTTACTATTTATATTTGCTAGCTTCTTCTCAGCACTTCATAAACAGACATCTTTCTGTCTCCGAATCACTATCATCAAAGTAGATAATACAGTTTGTTCACACTCCTACTACCAGCTGGATCAATGTCTTTTGTTTTTCTGTACACGATAGTTCCTTGACTTGTTTCATAGGCTCTCGCACCACTTTCTTAATTGGGATTGAATAGCTTGATCCCATCTTGCTAGTTTAGATCCTGAATTGTACAGTCCAGTGTACTGTATTTTTGTACACCCCACAGATACATTGTTTAAAATAATTAAGTCATTGGCAGTAAAATAAATGCATTTGCAGGTAATACAAGTTTACTCCCATAGTCAGTCCTTCTTATTATCTTCATAGGGTTTTTCCTTCTCTGTACTAGTAGCACTTTCCCCTTCTCTCTTGCTGATCCCACAAACGTAAAGGAACCCGCACAACCAACTGGGGATTGTTAAATCTGCAGCCACCTTGGGGGAAGAGAAATACACAGTTCATTTAAAAATAAAATAAAATTTAAAATAAATAAAATTTAAAAAAGCTTTATCTGTTTGCCTGTCTCACTTTTGCTACCCTGAATTTCCTGTCCCCATCCAATTTCCTACAGCTGCTTTCCCTATCCAAATAATCCACTATCTTTACCTTTTTTAATTCCTGGTTAGAACAGGAATAATTTCAAAGAACTAGAAATTAATGGCTGCCTAGCTTTTCTCAGCAGAGAGAGAACTATAAAACAACAGATAAGCATCTAAGTGCTTTTCTGTGAAGTATCTTTGAGTATGTGATATCTGTGTGATGTTTGGCTTGTTCTATTGGGGGGTGGAGAATATACAAACAAAATTAAGGGCAAGTGTCCATAGTGAATATAGATAAACTCCACCTGTACTCCTGTATTTGCTGAAATCTTTGCTG